TAATAGTAGACGCCAACATGTGTCATGGGGTGAAACTAGGTCGCATCGTAGGTAGTGGCCGATATATGGGCAAAGATCCTGCGTTCATGATTAGCTGAGATAAACTGGGTTCATAATCTTGCGACTTCAATTTGGACTTACAGCAGTATTTCGCTGCAAATTCACTATGCCGTGAAACCGATTCTATGAAGCCCTCGCATTCCCATCCAACAGAAAAGTCACCAAAAATATCGCCTCACAGGGTCTGATGCATATTATAGAAAGAAAAGACCTCGCAGAAAATTCTGCTAAAGCAACATTAGTAAATAGTTTTTAGTGACTCTCAATGGCTAATGGTATGCTGTCTCCCACTTAAAATGAACACGAGATGAATTCGGAATATTAACAGAATCGTAGAGGTTAGCATTCATGAACTCAGACACTAGCTACGTGAAAGGCTTATCCTTATCCTTTGACTAACTAAAAGGTATTGTTGCTAAGACCTCTATTTCGTATGAAAGTCCATGAAGAAGAGATTCGTAGGTCGATCTCCTCGAGCAAAAAACGGGCTGCGCTTTCTTTCGTTTTATTACGAACATCATCAGGGCTGAGGCTTATCCATTAAAAAGTTGCATCTGAAACAAGGAAGGATGTCTCATGGACTGCATCAACTCGAACGGCGAATTGCAGCTGGACGGCGCAAAACAACAGGAATTATCCATTGTCTTCCGGTGAGATCAACCAACGAATATCTTCATCATGCACTTTGAAACGAAATGAAAGTTTCCACAACAATGCTACCTTAAGAGATTAATCGAAACAGAGTTATTCTTCGCATCACTAAATAGTGCGTTTCGCCTGTGCTATCAATGCATAGTTTTTCCAACGATTAGAGAGGACCGATCGCAGATGTCTTCTGTCATTGAATGCACAGGTTAGTGTGAATAGGCATAAAATAAAAATAGCTAAGATAATATATTATTTAAAAATAGGCTGTATTTTATTACTGGCAAGGAACAAGCTTAAATGTATCACTATAAATAAGTATAATTTGAGTAGTATAGTTCGTTGCAACTAGCCTTGTCTTACTTAGCTCATCCATCTCGTATGGAATGCCAAATGAGCTTAACTACAAAAATGCTTATTGTTTTTTTTGGACAAATCTAATATTTTCACTTTAGTCAGATTTCTCCGTTTTCACCCAAAATATGGGAATTTAATAATCATTGAAAGTGCCTATACAATACTTGATCGAGGAGATTTTATTCGATTTACCGATCTTTGAAACTTGACTAGAGTTTTGGGATCAAACTCATGCAGCAGTTTCGGATACTTTAGCTCCTAGTGCTTATCTGAAAGAACTCGAAACTTGATGTTCATTTTAAATGCTTCGGTGTTGAAAAATCTTGCTATTATTATGAAACAAATCTCATTTCGAGATAGGTCCACTAGGACCTAACAAATAAACTACGTAACGATAAGAAGATCACTTCAATTTTCAGCAGCCAAAGGATGCTTGCAATGTACACTGAGAAAATCAACCTGGACTTTTTGTCAATGAGTAAGCTATATTCGTTTGT